GTTGTTTTTCTTGGTAGTTTATGACATCACTTTCCTCATGGAGGTCCAAGTGATGAAAGTAAAGAAAAAAAAATACAAAAAGATGGCGTTGGAAAATCATACAAAATTGGGAGGAATGATCTCAGTTAATCACAGATGTAACTAAACCGGAAAGACTATATCATAAAAAAGAAGTAAACCGGAAAGATGGTAAGGCGTGACAGTGACCATCGGAGAGCATTATTACTATCTGAAACACTTAGACAGTAGTCCCAGTACAGGTCAATGGTCTTCCATGAAAAAAGCACGTTCAAATTAAGGAACCAAGTGTAGTGACTAGTGACACAAATTTTCGGTCCCTCATCAAAAGTCATTGCCATGACCCAGTCCATCGAACTGATCAATTATACAGGGAAGCAGAATATTCTCTAGAAGATTAGAAGGATGTGAACGAGCCGGTCAGAGTGTTAACTGAACTGGATTACTGAAAACTAGCCGTGTTTTGGCCACCAGAATCCGGCTTGTGCCTGGCTTGCCGGCCATGAAAATTCTGACCAGCAAAACCTATCTTCATTGGGAAACTTGTTAGTCTGTCTGCCTAGGGAAATATATGGCAGAACGACACCGGAAACCTATCTCCCGCAAATCAGTGGGTATCATTCAACAGTCAGTCTCTTGCCGTCCGCGACGCAATAGCTGACCAAAATAGCCGACCAGCCAAGCATTATTGCCCCGAACTTAAACCGTCCGCCTAGGGAAGCATTATAGTCCCGACCAGCAAATCAGTAGTAAGGGCATCTTCCGCGACGACCTGCAAATTTTCTCCCTCTTCCTTTCACGGACAGGGGACCAGTCCGCAGATATGAATGTAGGAGACTGCCATCCAACATTGTCCGCATACATTTCAAATACTTTTGCAACAAATCAGGTGAAATTCATGCAAACACGGCCGGATTCCATGTTAACATGAAGGAATTCATACAAACACGACGTCTTTTCATTAGATTTCGAACATTTGGAGCAAACAAAAACCGACCCGACCCTAAACCTACCATATGGCATCGGCGCTCGGCGTCCAAGCCTTTGTAGTTCTCCATCCGCCATCTTCATGACCACCAGCGATAAGATAGATGAAGTGAAGTTACGGTCTCCGGCGAGGAAGTGTAGAACACGGGAGACGGACTGGCTGACATGGGACACAAAGCCCTGCCACCTCCCGTACACTACTCATCCTCAAAGGAGTCTGTGCCTTGTCCGTTGCTGGTGGACGTGAGGTCCACGATCAAAATGATGACATCTGCGCTATCGCCGTCCCTTCAATGGGCCGCCGGATAGTTCGTTGGTGGCGCGTAGGAGACGTAGGTAGCGTTCTTCTCCTCCACGATCGTGTGAAGCTGCGCCTCGGCGGCGGCCGCTTTCCTAGCAAGTAGTGGCTTGAGCGCAGACGGTATTCTAGATGGCACACTGCTCTACGACCAAGTTGGGGTTCACCCCAGCCATGGCCGCCACGGACTCCTCGCTCATGCGCTCGCCATATATCTGGCCCTCCTGCGCCTGCTGAAACGCCGACAAAGGCGCTGGTGCGGGCTGCACCTCCACCATGGCGGCATTGGAGTATGCCTACGCCTGCTCCATAGTGAAGCCGATGTGCAAAGACGCGGTACCCGGGGCGGTGTCATCAGAGCCCGTTTCCATCGTGTGGACGTCATCGTCGGAGACCTCGGGTGAGCTGGCCGGCAATCCGGCCTTGATCTGCCTCGCACGGCGATTATGCCAGGCGGCGGCAAGGGTGGCCATCTCGTGCTTCATCTCCATGGAAAGACTCTCCCACAAAGCTTCTTTGCTTGCAGTCATGAAGGATGCAGTGCAAAAGAGGAAGATGGGGAGCGGCTTGTGTTGTGGCATGAAGTTAGCAGAGTGTGGCCACCTTTAAATAGCTTATTCCAATGAGGCTAGGTATCCGGGAGCGTCAATGTGCGGCACCGGAGTAGTTTCTCCGCCGGCGAGCCCGCTTAATGGCTGCACACGGACGGACGGGGCGTCGAACAGGAGTGGTAGATATCTGTCCCGTCCCATCCAGTAACGTGTCTATGGCACTGAACAGGTGCGGACACCGAAGAGGCGTCACAGACAACGCCCTCGGCTAGCACGCCACTTCAATGGCGGCGCCAGTGAGAGGTCGCATCTGTCCTGAGCCGTCTTCAATGTGCAGCGGCGCGCTCTAAAGCGGCATGAATGCAGGAAGTTGGCACCGGGAGGGAATGCGGCGGGCGAGGGATGAGGGGGTTGGGTGGGCTACGACAGTAATAAGCAGGCGTGATTGCTGTACGGACGCCCGCGAAGCCCCCTTTGCCCCCCATATTTGTCTCTAGTTTATGAAAGAAAACAGGTCCAGACCGCCCTACGGACCGATACAAATCTGTGTTGGTTGGCTTTCGCGGTCCAAACAGTACAGTCCGGATATGTGCGGGCTGTTTGAGAATGGCCGTTGGGATGCCCTAAGTTCACCCTGACTTGTGACTTGGGGATGCTACCTGCCGCGGCAAGACAGAAGTACCTGAAGAAAATGACCAGATGGCATTTGTTTTCTTTGTTTATGAGATAGCTTACAATTCATGCCGAATGGTTACCAGATACCATCCTGCTCTCTACTTTCTCACCTCTTACAACACATCTCTAGCAGATCTGCAAAGGCTATATTTGAGGAAAAATTTATGGTCTGGGAATTAAGATCCAGCTAGAAGATTCCAAAAGAATTAATCCCTCAAAAATAGCTTTTCATTCTCCAAGCCTTCAGTTCTCTTTGGCCAATTTTTTTCTCTAGAAGGAGGCATTCTCATTGAAAATGGGGAGACTACTCCCCTCCGGCATTCATTGGCCTAGGGGTGGCTATAAAACCCATCGCCGCACCGAAACCCTAGACCACCCCCACCGTTCACCCATTTTTCCAACCACCACCCACGATTCGAGCCGCCGCCACCACCGCCTTCCTCAACCTCGATGCCACGACTACCGTTTGTGCTCCGCCGCCTCCCCGAGCTCCCGAGGCCACATCCTCGATGGTGCCACTGCTCCCTGCATGGACCAGAGTGCCCCTCTCGCCCCTTGTCATCTTCATAGACCCCGACACCTACTCCTTCCGAACTCCATTGCCACCTCCCAGTCGCAGCTTCGAGCCACTGCGCCAGCACCCCGAGCTTAGCCTCCAATGTCACAGCCACCGCCGAAGTACCGCGACATCCGGCACCGGCCATGACTCAAGTTTGTGCCATAGATCCGTAATACAGACACGATGCGAGTGTGCCATACTTTCCACCTTGCAATAGGCGGCACACACCTACAACGTGTTATGGGCGCTGGACAGAGTAGCTTTGATAGAGGTGGCCGCCCAGTCGTTGGCGTTGTGGACCATGCACAACAAAGCATTCCTTGAGGTTATAGTTTTTAAACACCCGGTTGACCTCATTTATAAAAGTATGGTCTTAATACAGCTTTAGAAACCTTTGGGGAGATGCCAGCATAGTGCGCGCCTTGACGCGTTTATCAACAACATCTGTTCCAAGTGTACTCAACTCCATGGGATATCGAGGATTGACAACACAAGCGAGGGGGCTTTTGTCCTCGTTTGCCCGCGGTGCATTGCTGACCTACGATCACTAGATTTCGTTAACATAGGGTCTTCCGCGCTGTGTCACGTGATGGGTCATTGTTGGCCTTGTATCGGACTTCATTTTCCATTAATTATCGTACTCGATGTGTCATGCAACTTCATTTTTTATGTCTGGACGTGCTCCATCCAATGCTATTCACAAATAAATTCTTATCTGTCTGTTGGGAGGAGAGGGATTAGAGAGGGACCATGCATGTAGAGGAGAGAGGCTAGAGGAGGACCATGCATGTAGAGGAGAGAGGCTAGAGGATGACCACATAAGGACTTTTGGTTGGTCAGTTGCATGTCCGGAGTGCCGCATAGCTCCCTCAAGTTTGTCTCGGATTTATCAAAAAATAGACATCTGGATCACTTCACGGATAGATGAGGTTCTTGTTGAATGTCAAAAGTTAACAGAAATTATCCAGCCACCACAATCCAAATATATACTGGAGCTTTGAGAGTCTGCTTTGGAGACGCCTTAAACTTATTTAACCGCGAGAGAGGGAGCACGGGCAACAGTCGGTCTTGCCGTTTACTCCCTTCATTTTTTACTTCCTTCGTTTCTTTTTAGTCTGCATATAAGATTTGATCAAAGTTAAACTTTGTTGGAAAAAAAATATCAACATCTACAATACTAAAACTATATGGTATGAAAATTAGTTTCATGATGCTTCTAACAATATTGATTTTATATTGTGAATCTTAATATTTTTTTTATAAACTTAATCAAAGTTGATAAAGTTTGACCCTGACCAAATTTTATATACAGACTAAAAAGAAACGAAGAGAGTAAAAGACAACACGTCGAGGACAGGACAGAGCCCCAACAAGATTGCACCACCCTGCAGCCACGCATTGCCAAACCCAAAAGGTACTGCGGGCGGCATCTTCGCCAGCCTCCGAAATCGAGCGATGCTGTCCGCGGCGCGGCACCGCCCGCCACGAGGCGTCACTCTCGCAGACCACCGAACTACCCTATCCCCCAAGCCCTCTCCTCCCTCTGATTCCCCGATAACTTGGACTGGGGGACGACCCCGACCACCCCGCCATCGTGCCCAAGCCGAAACTGATCGATCGGCGACGCCGTTTCGCTTCAGCTGGAGCTGGACGAACCTCATCCATCTGGACCTCAGTTGCAAAAACAACTGGGTGTGGCTGATGATAGAACCTGTGTTTGCGCGTCAAGTGTGTGAACCGGAGTCGCATCTCCTAGGCGTGCGACACGAGCTAGCTCGTCTCGTATAAATATACCCGTACCACGCTGAGCATCCAGCACCACCCACTAGTCCAGTAATCCAGCCACCTAAGCCTCCTCTTCCTCCTCAGTGCAGTTCCAGGGCTAATCCAAAAACACAGCCTACCAGCAAAAATGTGCTTCGAGTTCAGCTCGTGCTTCGGCGGCGGCAGGGACGACTACGGCGGCGAGCGGTCCAACCGCAACCGCAACGAGGCCGGCGAGCGGAACAACAACAGGAACGGCTACTACGGCGGCGCCGACCACAAGGCGCCGCAGACGACCTACCAGCAGCCGCCCGCCGCAGTCGACGAGGCCGACATCGAGGCGCCCAAGCTTCCGGCGTGGCACAACAAGGTTAGCGACCACGCCTACACGGCGCGCCTCCAAGAAGCTGCTGCTGATCACAGGAACAACGCCGCCACGGATTACCACCATTACCCAACTACCGCTCTCGGCAGGTACTAGCTAGGAGTACTTGTTAAAACTAGCTAGCATGAACAGTCCATCAATCTCTCCCTAGCCCGGAACATTGGCTGTTGCTACTGTCAGGTAGCTCTGTTTTTCCTCTGTTTTTTCCTTTCTCTTTGGATTTTCATCAGCGTTCTCACATGCTGAGGCCCAACGGCACCTGGAAATAGTGTGTGAGATCCAGGATCAAGGGGGTGTGGATTTTGAACAGAGCCTCCTCGAATATGTCGATGGATGTGCGGCACAAGTTGTAGCTCTAGCTCCAGGAAGCTTTTTATGAGTCTTCTCGTCTAGTTGCTTGCTTGTACTTTGGTTGTGACCGCTTTCTTCTTGTCTGATATAATCAAGCAAAAGAAAGCATTGTGAGATGTCAGATGACTCCCATTTCTTGTCTTTCTATGTGCATATCTGTTTTTTTAGAACGAAGACGCTAGGAGCGTCCGGTTTTAAATTAATAAAGCCCTCATCGGAACAGGCAGAGTGTCAAGTCGCACGGTCAAACATTACAGGGACAGGGACAAAAGCCATGGGTATATCTACTTAATGAAGCATAAGTCTGAAACATTTGAAAAGTTCAAAGAATTTCAGAGTGAAATTGAAAATCATCGTAACAAGAAAATAAAGTTTCTACGATCTGATCGTGGAGGAGAATATTTGAGTTACGAGTTTTGTCTACATTTGAAATAATGCGGAATAGTTTCGCAACTCACGTCACCCGAAACACCACAGCGTAATGGTGTGTCCGAACGTTGTAATCGTACTTTACTAGATATGGTGCGATTTATGATGTCTCTTACAGATTTACCGCTATCATTTTGGGGTCATACTTTAGAGACGGTCGCATTCACGTTAAATAGGGCACCATCGAAATCCGTGGAGACGACACCTTATGAACTGTGGTTTGGCAAGAAACCAAAATTGTCGTTTCTGAAAGTTTGGGGCTGCGATGCTTATGTGAAAAAGCTTCAACCTGATAAGCTCGAACCCATATCGGAGAAATGTGTCTTCATAGGATACCCAAAGAAAACTGTTGGATACACCTCCTATCATAGATCCGAAGGCAAGACATTCGTTGCGAAGAATGGATCCTTTCTAGGAAAGGAGTTTCTCTCGAAAGAAGTGAGTGGGAGGAAAGTGGAACTTGATGAGGTAACTATACCTGCTCCTCTATTGGAAAATAGTTCATCACAGAAACCGGTTTCTGTGACGCCTACACCAATTAGTGAGGAAGTGAATGATGATGATCATGGAACTTCAGATCAAGTTACTACTGAACCTCGTAGATCAATCAGAGTAAGATCCGCACCAGAGTGGTACGGTAATCCTGGTCTGGAAGTCATGCTACTAGATCATGATGAACCTACGAATTATGAAGAAGCGATGGTGAGCCTAGATTCCGCAAAATGGCTTGAGGCCATGAAATCTGAGATGGGATCCATGTATGAGAACAAAGTATGGACTTTGGTTGACTTGCCCGATGATCGGCAAGCAATTGAGAATAAATGGATCTTTAAGAAGAAGACTGACGCTGATGGTAATGTTACTATCTATAAAGCTCGACTTGTTGCAAAATGTTTTCGACAAGTTCAAGGGATTGACTACGATGAGACCTTCTCACCAGTAGCTATGCTTAAATCTGTCTGAATCATGTTAGCAAATGCCGCATTTTATGATTATGAAATTTGGCAAATGGATGTCAAAATTGCATTTCTGAATGGAGTTCTGGAAGAAGAGTTGTATATGATGCAACCGGAAGGTTTTGTCGATCCAAAGGGAGCTAGCAAAGTGTGCAAGCTCCAGTGATCCATTTATGGACTGGTGCAAGCCTCTCGGAGTTGGAATAAACGATTTGATAGTATGATCAAAGCATTTGGTTTTATACAGACTTTTGGAGAAGTCTGTATTTACAAGAAAGTGAGTGGGAGCTCTGTAGCATTTCTGATATTATATGTGGATGACATATTGCTGATTGGAAATAATATAGAATTTCTGGATAGCATAAAGGGATACTTGAATAAGAGTTTTTCAATGAAAGACCTCGGTGAAGCTGCTTACATATTGGGCATCAAAATCTATAGAGATAGATCAAGACGCTTAATTGGACATTCACAAAGCACATACCTTGACAAAGTTTTGAAGAAGTTCAAAATGGATCAAGCAAAGAAAGGGTTCTGGCGTGTATTACAAGGTGTGAAGTTGAGTAAGACTCAATGCCCGACCACTGCAGAAGATAGAGAGAAATGAAAGATGTTCCCTATGCTTCAGCCATAGGCTCTATCATGTATACAATGCTGTGTACTAGACCTGATGTGTGCCTTGCTATAAGTCTAGCAGGAAGGTACCAAAGTAATCCATGAGTGGATCACTGGACAGCGGTCAAGAACATCCTGAAATACCTGAAAAGGACTAAGGATATGTTTCTCGTTTATGGAGGTGACAAAGAGCTCATCGTAAACAGTTATGTTGATGCAAGCTTTGACACTGATCCGGATGATTCTAAATCACAAACCGGATATGTCTTTACATTGAACGGTGGAGCTATCAGTTGGTGCAGTTCTAAACAAAGCGTTGTGACGGGATCTACATGTGAAGCGGAGTACATAGCTGCTTCGGAAGCGGCAAATGAAGGAGTCTGGATGAAGGAGTTCATATCCGATCTAGGTGTCATACCTAGTGCATCGGGTCCAATGAAAATCTTTTGTGACAATACTGGTGCAATTGCCTTGGCGAAGGAATCCAGATTTCACAAGAGAACCAAACACATCAAGAGATGCTTCAATTCCATCCGGGATTTAGTCCAGGTGGGAGACATAGAAATTTGCAAGATACATACGGATCTGAATGTTGCAGACCCATTGACTAAGCCTCTTCCACGAGCAAAACATGATCATCACCAAGGCTCCATGGGTGTTAGAATCATTACTGTGTAATCTAGATTATTGACTCTAGTGCAAGTGGGAGACTGAAGGAAATATGCCCTAGAGGCAATAATAAAGTTATTATTTATTTCCTTATATCATGATAAATGTTTATTATTCATGCTAGAATTGCATTAACCGGAAACATAATACATATGTGAATACATAGACAAACAGATTGTCACTAGTATTCCTCTACTTGACTAGCCCGTTGATCAAAGATGGTTATGTTTCTTGACCATAGACATGAGTTGTCATTTGATTAACGGGGTCACATCATTAGGAGAATGATGTGATTGACATGACCCATTGCGTTAGCTTAGCACCCGATCATTTAGTATGTTGCTATTGCTTTCTTCATGACTTATACATGTTCCTATGACTATGAGATTATACAACTCCCGTTTACCGGAGGAACACTTTGTGTTCTACCAAACGTCACAACGTAACGGTGTGATTATAAAGGTGCTCTACAGGTGTCTCCAAAGGTACTTGTTGGGTTGGCGTATTTCGAGATTATGATTTGTCACTCCGATTGTCGGAGAGGTATCTCTGGGCCCTCTCGGTAATGCACATCACTTAAGCCTTGCAAGCATTGCAACTAATGAGTTAGTTGCGGGATAATGTATTACAGAAGGACTAAAGAGACTTGCTGGTAACGAGATTGAACTAGGTATTGAGATACCGACGATCGAATCTCGGGCAAGTAACATACCGATGACAAAGGGAACAACGTATGTTGTTGTGCGGTTTGACCGATAAAGATCTTCGTAGAATATGTGGGAGCCAATATGAGCATCCAGGTTCCGCTATTGGTTATGGACCGAGGACATGTCTCGGTCATGTCTACATAGTTCTCGAACCCGTAGGGTCCGCACTCTTAACGTTACGATGACAGTTATATTATGAGTTTATATGTTTTGATGTACCGAAGATTGTTCAGAGTCCCGGATGTGATCAAGGACATGACGAGGAGTCTCGAAATGGTCGATACATGAAGATTGATATATTGGAAGCCTATGTTTGGATGTCGGAAGTGTTCCGGGTGAAATCGGGATTTTACCGGAGTACCGGGAGGTTACCAGAACCCCTTGGGAGCTTAATGGGCCTACATGGGCCTTAGTGCAAATAGAGGGAAGCAAGGGGAGTGTGGGGCGCCCCCCCAAGGCCCAAACCGGATTGGTTTAGGGCAAGGGGGGCCGGCCCCCTCTTTCCTTCTTCCCCTCCCTCTTTCCTTCTCCCGAATCCTATTCCAACTAGGAAAAGGGGGAGTCCTACTCCCGGTGTGAGTAGGACTCCTCCTGGCGCGCCCTCTCCCTGGCCGGCCGCACCCCCCATGCTCCTTTATATACGGGGTCAGGGAGGCACCCCAGAGACACAACAATTGATCAAGTTGATCTTTTAGCCGTGTGCGGTGCCCCCTCCACCATAGTCCACCTCGATAATACTATAGCGGTGCTTAGGCGAAGCCCTGCGTCGGTAGAACATCAACATCGTCACCACGCCGTCGTGCTGACGAAACTTTCCCTCAACACTCGGCTGGATCGGAGTTCGAGGGACGTCATCGGGCTGAACCTGTGCTAAACTCGGAGGTGTCGTACGTTTGGTACTTGATCGGTCGGATCGTGAAGACATAGGACTAAATCAACCGCGTTCTGCAAACGCTTCCGCATTCGGTCTATGAGGGTATGTGGACAACACTATCCCCTCTCTTTGTTGTGCATTACCATGATCTTCTGTGTGCGTAGGAATTTTTTTGAAAATTATTACGTTCCCCAACAGTGGCATCTGAGCCTGGTTTTATGCGTAGATGTCATATGCACGAGTAGAACACAAGTGAGTTGTGGGCGATATAAGTCATACTGTTTACCAGCATGTCATACTTTGGTTCGGGGTATTGTTGGATGAAGCGGTCCGAACCAACATTACGCATACGCTTACACGAGACTGGTTCTACCGACGTGCTTTGCACACAGGTGGCTGGCGGGTGTCTGTTTCTCCAACTTTAGTTGAACCGAGTGTGGCTACGCCCGGTCCTTGTGAAGGTTAAAACAGCACCAACTTGACAAACTATCGTTG